CCTCTAGTAACACACACATATAAGCTTGAGTACAGTAGTTGTTGTCAAAGACATCAAAATTGGACTAAAGATGAACAGAAGATTGTGGTTTGGTCATATATATATTCTTTTACCCTTGTCCATCAAATGAACATGTTTATGTGAGGTGAAAAACCAAAGGAATCTTAAAATCCTGAATGTTTTGTGGCACCAATTAGGCGGTGGTATGAGCGGTTTAGGACCTCTGATTTCATTGAAAGGTAAAGTGACCAGATACGATTACTTTAACCTTATTGCAGACCAAGCTCATCCTATGGTGACACTTTTTTTCTAAAACGAAGCTTGTCTATTTTAGATTGGTGGGATACGAGGAAGAGTTTAAGCACCTGACTTAGCAACAACAGTCACCAGCTTTAAATGCTATTAAGCTCCTATATGGACAGTTCTTGAAAGTAATCTTCGGAGCAGATTTCTACATCCAACATCATATTAAAATTGAAAGACGATTTGATGGACGAAGATTAAAAATGAAGAAAAAAAAAAAAGATTTTTCATCTGATGCGCAATCCTCCGTTTCTCTCCGTGTTATGTCTATACCGTGTGATCGTGGGGGGTCTTTTTGATGCTAATGAGTATGATTTAACACATACATTTACTATTGACCAAAATGATACTGTGTTTGGATGATGGTAGATAAAGAGACTTGTATTTTTAGAAATGTCTCGAAATGCAACATTACCCGAACCAGAGACTATATGTTTCTATACTTACAATGGTAGCTGTTTATACAAGCATTAGTTTTAAGAATATCAGGCTTTCTTGACTTACGACGTCAGTTTAAAAAAACTTTAACTGTTTCTTGTTTGAAAAATACTACTAAGGTGTAGTTACCGTTTCAAGCCTACAACGTAAAACGCAAAAGTGGAATAACCCCCTGCGTTCTCAGTAATCTTTTAACCTGAATCAAACGAAAAGTCCAAGAAAACGAATAAGTGAGTTTTTTTTTGTGATGCAATTTCCTTTGTATTTCTTGTTGAAATTTCTAGAAGGTTCGATAAGAGCAGCATCAAATAAGGCTATGAGGGAATACTATTTCCTTCTTCTATTGAAAACAAGATCTTGATTTGGGAGTCCGATGGCATGTATTTGTAAATGATTGATGAAGTTCAACTGGCCTAGTTCATCTGGTGTAAATAAATCTCCCTTTTTTCTTTGCTTTCGTAAAACATACTTTTCGAGAAAAACAGCAGCAAAAAACCTAGCGAATTTTAACAAGTTATTTTGTTCAGTTCATAAAAAAGTCGCTCATGTTCGTTTTGGAGCCCATTATTTGAAGGTGTAACAGGAGTAAGCCCACATTCTCCTCTTAGTATACTGTGTGAATTAGTATTTTTAAAACTTTCATATGAAACTTAACAGTTTGTAAGGTAGTTAATAAAACATAGCTTGTGAAAACTGCATGGAATTAATCTGTGCAATATTGTTAATGTCCTCTAGAATAATGTAATATATATCCAACACCATCAGTACCTTTTAATCGGGGCCCGGCATGGCCAGGTGGTTAGGGAGCTCGACTCGCAATCTGAAGGTCTCGGGTTCGAATCCCTGTTCCA